TGGGATGTTGTATGAACTCACTCTAAATCTGCTTCTGAATTAATAAATTTATTATCATTCATCAAAAAAAAGAATGGCTGAATTGAAACCTTAGACTCTATTTTTCTATATATAGAAAATTGTCTATGAATTTTGTTTTGTAGAAAATTGTCTGACTCATTTTTTGGCAAGAAAACTGTCTATGACTATATGTCTATAATCTCTGTCTTTTTTTGAAAGAAAATTGTCTGTCTCTTTTTTTGAATGAAAATTGCCTATGTTAGTATGATTATGACATGACTCTAACTCTATGTGATTGTTCATTGTATTGCATTAATGGCTTGTAGCTTGCTTGAAGTCTTGAACTTAATGTTGATTGGTCATTGGTGAGTACTTGAGAACTTGATTATTTCAGATTTTTGTTGTTACTTGACATATTAATAGGTTGTGTTAATCATTTAATTTAATTTGAAGTATAGGAATATGTCTTTTAATTATACCCTTAATTTTTTCATTTGTTTCTGATTTTTCAAAAAATTGTGCCCCTTGCCTCAAAAAGGCGTGCGCCTCACCTTGCACCTTGCGCCTCAGGTGCAAAATGGCCCTTGAGCCTTTCGCTTTTAAAACACTACTTCAAAGTACATAGTCCAGGAAACTCCAATTGACATGATAATATGTTCCTCCAAATCTATTTTGCAAAGCAAACTACCCCTTCCACTTCTCATCCTCGAGTCAATTAATTCATTTGCTACTAGGACCCCATCCACCATCAACCTTCCTTCTACAAAAGCCCCTTGGCACTCCGACATGATGCTCCCCATTACTAGCTTCATCCTTTTTGCTAACACCTTTGCAATGATTTTATTCATGTTGCCTATCAGACCAATAGGCCTACAATCTTTTATGTCTTCAGCCCCTTTCTTCTTCGGAACAAGGGGGATGAAAGTTAAGTTTAGACTCCTTTCCAAAGGTGTTGTTGTATGGAATTCCTCAAAGACCTTCATAATATTTGTTTTCAAAAAATCCCAACAACACTTATAAAAGCCATGATGAAGCCACCCAGTCCCGGGGCTTTGTCCCCTTCCATATACAAAATTGCCTTTCTCACCTCCTCTTCTTGGAAATCCCTCTCCAGCTCCCTTTCTTGCTCATTTGTCAACCCATCACAATTTAGCCCATCGATTTTGGGCCTGTATCCAATTCTCGTTGTATAGGTTCTTATAAAATTCAACTATACAAGCTTTGATTCTCTCTTCCT